ACATCAAATCTAACTACTAATGATAACTATGCAAGTATATAAAACTAAATTTATGTGTACCTATGGCAATAAGAGATTGCGCGTACAATTTGGCGAAAATAATCACGAGCAAGAGATTCTGAGAGACCAGAGTCATGTCTCATTATATAGTCATATAAATCACCTCCATCCCCTAACTCTAATATCAGGTATAATTTAGTCTGCGTATCAATTACTTCATATAGTCGCACCACATTGGGATGTTGAACTAATTTCATGCATCGGACCTGTAAAAAAAAGGCAACATAACAATGTCATTTACAGGCTTTCTCCTATCTCAATTACATAGAGATGTTATCTCAGGCCAGGCCATTATAGTTTTATAAAATAGAATAGAATCATTTTTATTCAATATAAATTACAAGAATACTTTTATAGAAAGTCATTTAACCTTTACTATAGGTTTGTCAAAGGAGGAACCAGCAAGAAACTCAGCAAGACTTTTAATAAACATTAATTTTCAATATAACATTTTATACATTCAAAATCAAATCATTATAGTGGACCCACGGTAATCCAGCCCCTGGCTAATCCACCCCTCCTTGTAATCTATAGGAATCCACCACGGGGAGAGGTGTCCTTCGCAAATACGTGGACAACAAGGTTGCATTTAGTTCTCCGCACTACAAATATAGCTTGACACATATTGTATCAGTTTCAATGTAACTATGCTAGCGGCCTAGTGGGCATTCATTATTTACTGTTTAAGTATTCATTGTGCACCAGATAGCTTTTTTACTATTTTATATTTGATATGTAATTTGTCAGATTACAAGGTACTCTTTTTAAAAAGTTCTGGAATAGCAAAGGTCTGTGGCAGTACTTTATAGTCCGACAAATTCAATAATCTGTCACCGCCTTGCAAGTTTAACTTGCCAGATTAACGCAGGTCAACTGTATATATCTAGCTGTTTCAACACATGTAAGGCCTCCAATCTTTTATACACCATATGCTACAAAACTAAGTTTACTAGCTATCTGGTTTACATAAATGGGGGCCACATTGAAGCTTCACGTCTACTGAAAACAGTGGATTCAACAAGACTCATTGCCTCCCCGTTTAAAAGCACACTAATATTCACTGGTTTAAGATTTGGTGTTATAAATTTAAAACATTTAGTTTTATCTACCTTTAAAAGCAAATTGATTTATGATATCTCTAAATACTGGCTTTAGTTTTATTACTATAGTAATACAGTTTTTGGAACTGCACAAAGTACAGAAAATTTAACACAACAATATCTCCATTTTACTTTACATTTTTATGCACATTAAATACAGTAAGATATTTTACCTCTTGGAATAAATGAGATTTTGAGACTTCATCTAGTTTACTTTTGTCAATTACTTTCACAGCAACTTTTTCACCAGTGAAAACATGTCTTGCTGATTTCACAACAGCAAAATGTCCAGAACCCAGTGTATCAAGTAAGTCATATAAGCCAGCTATTTTTGCATCATAAGGACCACCTCCTGTGGCCATTGCACTTCCTCCAGATCCACAGTTATTCATTGTACCTCTGAAAATTGATGTTTATTTTAATGGGTGTCACAGCAGAATAAAAAGAACACTAAGATTATAACTAGCCTAAAAATTCAGGCTTTTTAAAAGTAACTCATTCTTGTGATAAATATAGGTAATTCAAGAGGAATAGGTGAAGTATTTATTACCTGTACCTTAGTAGTTAGATAAAATATTTTGATTAGATGTATATAAAATCTCTATACTAAAGTATTTCTTACCATAAAGATAACGAAAACAGATATTGAATATAAACTAGGTGAGGAAAACTTACGTGGAAATAATTTATAAATTAAAAATTGACTAGAAATCCAGAGATGTAATCGAGTTAAAAACATTCATAGGAGACACTAGAATACAAATAAGTCACTTAAAATAAATAACGATAAAAGTCGTAAACAGACCACAACATTGCATTATTTTAGTTATAAAATTGGAAATATCGAATGAAAAATAGATGTTCCAAGAGCCTCAATTTCGCCATTTCTCAAAATTAGTTCAGAAACAATACCTTACCTAAATGTGAATATCTAATTTATATTTAAAAAAATTAAATTAAAAGGTAAATGTAACGAAATTAAATTCATTCATTTAAAATCCAAAAAGGGTATAAAATTAGTTTTAATAATTAGTTTTAAAATATCAATCATTATTATTTCTGAACGTCACATAAACATCATAGAGCAACATGGGCCGGCGGATCGGAGGGGATTAGCCATACGCGGGCGTTTCCTTCTGAGTTTTTTTTTATTTATTTTTTTAAACTGATTGTTTCCCTAGAATAATTTCAAACAATGTCATAGCATTCGAGGGATGAGAACCTGGTGACTTGTACTACAGGCTTATATATGCCTACTTCAGGCACCAGCTTCTCACATAATAAAATTCTGTATATGTACTACTAGATTTACATTGTTTTACTTTGTGTGAGAAGATAAATAAAGACTTTATTATTATTATTATGGGGTATTTGTATAGTTTTCTCATCTGGTTGGGCTGTATAAATATATAATTGTAAATGAAAATGATAAACTTATATAAATATCAATAAAATAAAATATATACATAAAATTACATAAATATATTAATTATTATTATTATTATGGGGCATCAATATAGTTTACTCATCTGGTTGGGCTGTATAAATATATAATTGTAAATGAAAATGATAAACATACATAAATATCAACAAAATAAAATAAATGCATAAAAAATACATAAATAAATAAAAACCCAACCAGATGGAAGCCCTCGGCAGGGGAGACCAAACGGCCGAGTGTTAGGGGGAAAGGGAAAGAAACCGGCGGACGATGCGGGCGGTATCGAGGAGCACCGCCTTCTGCATTTGAGCTTGGAGCGGTCCGTCACGGAGTCCCAGTCGCCTCAGATGACCCGAGAGGCTGACTGGGATTAACCCGTTCGCAGAAACGACTACAGGTATAATTTCGGCCGGCAGTCCACCCCACATGTCGGTCACCTCGTGAGCCAGGTCCAGATATTTTGTTCGCTTATCTGTTTCGGCTTTCACGAGGTTCTCGTCATACGGAATGGTAATGTCGACCAAAAATATCCTTGACTGTGCCCGGTCCATCAGCACAATATCAGGCTTATTCGCAAGAATGGTCCTGTCTGTGATGATGGCCTGGTCCCAGTAGAGCCTGGCGCGGTCATTTTCGAGCACGGCTTCCGGCATGTACTTATAATAAGGCAGTTTCCGATCCACGAGACCGTATTTCAGAGCGAGCTCCTGGTGTAGAATCCTGGCTACTAGGTTGTGCCTATGCAAGTACTCAGAGTTAGAAAGCGCCGAACAACCGGAGATGACATGCCTAAGTGATTCACCAGGATGGCGACAAGCTCGACAAATGTCGACGGTGCCATCCCTTAGGATGTATCTCCGATAGTTGTTGGTCTTAATAACCTGATCCTGTATTGCACAGACAAAACCCTCGGTTTCCCCGAAGAGGTCACCAAAACATCATTATTATTATTATTATTGTCATCCATAAATTGCTTAATATTATAATAACCCTTTTTATACAAACTTAGTTTAGTAAAGTTTTTGAACATTGAGCAGGTTTTGTATATTTTCTGTGATTTTGTTGTGTGTATATAGTGTGTGTGTGTGATACTCAAATACTCAAACGCTACTCTAAGTCAAAGTGACAGTGACACCACGAGATTTAACGGCGTCTTAAAATTGAGTAGCGTTTGAGTATTTGGGCATGAGTGTGATGTATTAAGTTAATGCTCTCGATGAATAATATTAACTAGACGTAGTGATTATATTCTCTTTGATATTAACAATAATATTGTGAACACAATAAAATATGTTCTCAACTAACGAGTAACTTTTTATGGGTGTAAGTGTTAATTTTTTTACAAAATTGACTTAGAAATGTGTTTCTTAACGTTAAATTGTTGCTGTTTACTTCAAACTAAATAAATATATTGCTATATAACTAATAAAATGACTGTTTTTATTAAAATGCATTACCTATCTGTATATGTATAAAAATACACTAGATTTCAGTATACAATAAAAAATTACATGTCTAAATAAGTTTCGATTTCAGTTTCGGTTTCGGCCGAAACTGATACCCAGACCGAAGGTTCGTTTTCGGTTAACAATCCTGTTTCGGTCGGACACTAATTATAATGCAAGATAAAATTTAATATGTAATTCTACTCAACTACAATATAGTAAACGGTCCTAAACCCGTAAAACTATGAAGGAAAGATCGAATTATGGAAAGATATGTAGAAACAAGACCAAGAACACAAAGGCAAATGGTAAGGAAGTATCCAGAATGAAATACTTGTTTAAAGCCGTGGTACGCTAAGTTGAAAGAAGCAAGTCGTGACTAAATTACGACTACAAATGCACTACCTGTCGGCCACCTTAAAACTGCTGCACAACTTGCTCGAATTAACATATTGTCCTAGAACTTGTGCATATATTGTGGTCAAGTTGGATTTGAAACTATTCATCACCTGTTGTTTGAATGCGGCCAATTTAACTTTCAACGGCTTTTATTAGCTAGTGAAGTGTGTGACAGTGAAAGTTAAACCATCACAAATGATGACCCCCGCTGCTTGACTGTATTTTTGAAAAAATATGAATATTTTGTGGTTGTTCACAAATACATTAACTCAACAATAGAAAATCTATAAAAACACGGATCCTGAATAAAATAAAGGCAAGGCTTAAAAAACAAGAATCTAAGTCAAAAGATCTTATTAAAAAAATAGTTACCTAGTCTGTGGTTCTGAAATGTCAATGTCATTAACAAAACTGCAGAATAGCTTGCTACATATTTAAAATTCATAATTCTGTAAAAAAGTTAAACAATTTATTCTATAATTTATAATATATTATAGGTATAAGTTTTTGTTTTGTGTAAATTTAAAAAGGAAAAAAAAGAACGAGTAGTTAGTTATGATATTAGCTGAAACTTTGTTGTTCTCTCTGTCATTAATCGATAGCGGTGCTATATTGTTCTTATTAGTTTATTTTATTATTACATTGTCAGACTTAGAATGTGATTATTTGAACGCCCAAGAGTGCTGTGAAAAACTTAACTATTGGCTGTTACCAAAATATATAGCTCATTCTTTTATCACATTCTTACTCTTATTACATGGGCAGCTTATCCTTTTCTTATTGAATTTGCCGATGTTTATATGGCTTTCGTTCGAGTATTTTACAATACCGCAGGGTAACTTTGGTGTTTATGACCCTGTAGAAATTTACAATCGTGGTCAGATTAAGAAGCATTTAAGAGATGTTATGATCTATATAGGGTACTACCTATTATTTTTCTTTATTTACCTTTATTGTTTTATATTAGCGCTATTAAAAGGAGATCCAATTCAGAGAGGTAGCGAAGACCATATCGTAACTGAAATCTAAATTAAAAATGGATTCAGTATTGGCTGAAACATCACTCAATGTAATGTATTTTGGAGAAGACGAGGATGTTAATGAAAATGAAGAGGAGGCAGATTCTGTAATAGTAGACACAGAAAAATGTGCAAAATTAAACTATAATAAGAATATAGCAGCTTTTATTGAAAAAAGAGAAATGATGAGTAATATAAAACCTTTAGAATGCAGTAATATTTTAATAGAAAATATTACATCAAATTATATCATTGTAAAGCAGATTATTAGTAACCTATCCTGGCAAGATAAAGCTATGTGCAAGCTTGTATGTAGCAATTGGTACTCTGCTGTACAAACATTACAAAAAGAGCAAATATCACCTGAAGACTTTGTTATAGACTTGTGTTATTCCCTAAGGAGTGGAGGTGGGAAAGGATGGTTTAAAAAGTCTGGAATTTTTTACACAGAGCCTTTGGTGATTCTTACATTTGCAAATACAGCTGGCTTTTGTGCTGTGAGTAAATGTAAGGTTATTCAACCAAGGCCTTGTGAACAACATTGTGAGAAAGAGCACTGTTGTAAGTTTTTAATAAAAAAATTTACTTATTGTATTTTATTTTTTATAGTAGTGTGTTTCTCTCTGTAAATCTTAAATGATTATATTTAAGAAAATACAAAATCAAGAGAATTATAATAAATAAAAACATACATTATTTTCTTGGAAAATTTTGAAAGATATTCAGACATTTAATAATATATTAATTATTTGCAGTAATGGATTTGATAAATTTTCATGTTAATGCTCCAAAAAATTGTATGATGACTGTTAAAGCTAACTACTTGGTGTACAGACCTCTAGCTCATTCAAATACTTACGGACATTCAATAACACATTATAAATACACATGGACCAACCCTTTTATTGCTGGAATATTTATACCTAAGATCCCAGATGTGAGTTTTCAAGTTCTAAATATTAGATCTCAGAATAGTTTACAGCAAGAGTTTTATGATGTGGTCGATAAATTATCAAAAGATCATATAATTAAAGGTGTCCTTGTTTATGTTACTGAGAAATATTTACTAAATTCTGTGGAAGATATTGTTTTTTTGAATTATTTTAAAGATGTGTAAGTATATGACAAATATTTAAAGGTGTTTTTTGAAATATTTTTAGCATTTCCATTGTGTTCCCTTTCATTTAACAGGCAACCTAATGTTCCCTATGCTCTCGGAGGTTGTATTGTGGAAGACACTATGTCAGAAAATAGTGATATTAATTTACTAGTGGACAGCGTGAATGAAGGTGCTGATTTTATAAGTGAGAACTTGCTGTCTATTGGCTTGTTTACTATACCAAAGAAATCCAATAATAATGAATACAATTTTGAAATGTACTCTTTTATTATTGAATCATCAGACTGGGATAAACCTAAGATACAGGAGTCAGTTACAGAGGTATGAAAAGTAATGTTGTACTAAGCTTGAGATAGGGATGGGCAAAGGGAAAAAATATATCGATATATATCGAATCTATATTTTTAAACAGAATCGATATATATCGCGTGATTAATATCGATATATTGTCATCATTTGAATGATGTAAAGATAAGGTCCAAAATTTTATCTACTGACGGTTGGACGACGAAAAAAACGAAACAACATTTTAAAATATATCGAAATTGATACGAATTCAATACTCTAAAATAAATATCGATATGTCGATATATCGTTGTTTAAAATATCGACGACATATATAGATTTTTTTATTATAAAATATCGATATTTCGATATATCGATATTTCGATATATCGATATTGAGATAAAAAATTTGGACTATGTTGTTATTTCAAATTTGTTATTATTATATCTTTTTTAATCATAGAAGAAATTTCTTTTATTTGTATTACATATTATTTATCTGGCTGTAATTGATTATATATTATTGTTTTTGCTTACATTAGCTCATGTAACAGTAAACAGTATACTGCACAACACAGGCTTCTGCCATAGTTTGATAATTAGCCCTAATTCCCTCTTTTAGCAAACGGATTGGGAATTAACCTCAGATATTCTACACTTGATTTTTTTTTTATAAAATTTGTGTAACAAAAGAACATACAATCCACCTGATGGTAAGTAGACTCTGGAAAATAGACATCTACATCTATCCTCAATTAAGAATCACAATGCGGATGTATTGTCACCCCTGAGGACTAAGATGGAATGCCTCATTTTCAATGAAAAGGGTCTCTGGTTCTCTACACCACCATAAGAAAAACAGCAGCATTAAGCTGCTATTTTATGCAGGTATTCTGTATGAGCATGACACTTCCCCGGTCAAGCCGACCCATATGTGTCATAACCATAAAATAGTTGCTGCATGACTACCACATACATAAATTTAACGCTGCTTCCTTAGGTCTAGGTATTTTCTTTATTTTAAAATCATGCTTCATTCAGTTTATTAAATTAAACATAAGCATGGTTGTATTAATTGTTTGAAAAAAGGATATCAAGTTTTACCAAATTTTCAACTTTTTAGTTTTCAAAAAAAGTACCTCGGTTTGAGCACAGCATTGCTCTAAAACTTTCATGTGTTGGTCGCGATCGGAAACATGTGCTGGAACAAGATTGTTTTCGAGCTGCTTTTCCAAACACACCAATAGTGGGTTGTTATGGCAATGGTGAGTTAGGCATTCACCACCCTGCAAGACCAGAGCCTGAGGCCTTGCCTAATGCTATCAAAAGACACCGACGGGACCCTGGACCTCAGTTTGGAATTATGTATTCATACTCAACAGTTTTTGTTTATATTGGATGGGGTAAAATAATATCACCACAAGGACCTCTTTGATGTTTTTAATAATAATAAGGATAAGGATAAGGTTTTAATTAAGTATAATATGAGGTTCTTTCATAATATGACACTATAAAAATATTTATTGTTTTAATTGTTGTAAGACTGCTATTGTAAAAAAATCTCAAATTGTATTTTAGTTGTTTAAATTATATTATAAAAATATTGAGATGTTGGATTTTTAATGTTGCAGTTATTTTGTATTTTTTTTTACATTGGGTCACATTGGAAATTAAAAACCTAATTTTTTTTATTAAAAGAATATTTCTTATTTGATAAAAACAATTGAAAGTGTAACTTCATACTCATTACAGAGTTTTAAAATAAGTTAATCAAAGATAGCTCCTTTAAAGTTAAGGAGTTAGAATAATTTAATGATTATCATTGTAAAACTATATTATATCATGTGTCGTGCGAATAAATGCATGAAAGAAATAATTGTTAATACTTATTTACCTAATATCCTAACCACAAATAAACGTAAATTACTCTTTGGGGCTGGTTTATTACTTCTGCCAATTTGCCATTTTTTATTTCAATTCCTAGGGAATTATAATAAATATGACATTAAAGGCCTGTAAACAGTACGTATGCTGCTGAGCGTGCGTACACTATGAATGCGTGTGTGCGTGTGTGTGCTTGCGAGCGTGCCTGCATGCGGATGTGAATGTGCATGCGCGTGTGCGGGTGTGTGTGAAAATGTATATAAAAATTACTCGTTATGTAGTATATAAGTGTCGTGTGCTGACGTATGTTGGTAGCGTAAGGGAACCCAATTTGTCCCATGGGTATTGTAAAAGGCGACTGTGGGAAATTTATATGCCAACGACCTTCAAGTCTACATGTCATTAAGGTCGGGTTATACAAATTTTAAAGTTAACAGACTTGATCAGGATTTAAGCCCGATCGCTGAAAGGGCGAATAATAATCTTAAATCCAACTATAACCCAGTTCATGATTGGTTTCATGTTTAAAACAGCCTGCACCTACTATCGGCACTATGTTGGATAAGCAGTAAAGGACCTAAAATTGACCCTTGTGGAACGAAAGAAATAATATCGACACCAGTTTCATTTCGAAGCCTGACTCGCCGGGTACGACCATTTAAATAACTTGTTCCGTTACAGCGTTACAGTCAAAACCATAATACACTAACTTATACGGAAGTAACGAGGTATTTATGGTATCAAACGCACGTGAAAAGTCTAGTAGTGTATCCTCTACTCTCTACTGCATCCTGCACTGTTAGATTATCATCGACAACACCCAATAGCGCTGTCGAGCTCTAAAATCCTCTAAAAATATAAAATTGTTTTAAGAGGTAAAATATTGTTCTCGAACCCCAAGCTCGTGTCAATATTGTTCTGTTTTAGATGTTGATTCAAAATAGGATAATGTTGACGTACCAGAAACCAGAAACGTACCAGAAAGCTTACACCAATGCTTTCTGGTACGTGTAGAAAATGATGGCTTACCACGTCAGTATCATTAAAGTTGGATTGCAAAGCAATATCTTTTTTTGAAGTTTATATCACAATTTGCTTTAATTTCTCCAAAGTACTTGCGGATTTTTTGAATTATTATTAATAAAGTAGCGAAAGTTGACTGTTATTCACGCTGTATTAGCATAACTCTTCAGATCTTTATATTATCTTTTCTCTCCTTTGGAATTATAACTATGATGACTGGATGGAATAGTTCGTGGCATTGTTAGGTGACTAATTACTAGGTATATGTCGTGGACCACAATCATGCAAGTAGTGTAGTTGTACCACTTCTAGACCACCTGAGTCAGACGTGGTTCAACGACGTTCGTCGACGCCCGATCATAAAAAAAAAAAAAAAAAAAAAAAAAAAAAAAAAAAAAAAAAAAAAAAAAAAAAAAAAGGTTTTGGCATGCTCTGATCACGAATCCGCGGTCCATTTTTGTGTAGAATGCACGGTTCCAGAGATGTGTAGATCAATTAGCTAATATCTAATTGATATCCGGTAAGGGCCTCCACCGTCATTAGCGTCCCATTGTTGTTCCTATTTCTATTGTTCTATTGTTCCTTAATCACCTTCATTGCAGCGTGTGCGTCGACTATATCAGTGCTATTGTTTATTATAATTCTTTGTTTATACAACGCTAATCTGAATCATCAATAAAACACATTACATAATTTTGTTACAATTTTTATTTATAAAATACAAAATCTTATTAATTATTATCTATAAAATAGGAGCGAAACATCTCATCCACTAAAATATCGTTGTACAATGTGTTCCTTGTAAATATACTCGTAAAACTATGTATTGAACATCCTTGAAACTTATATAGTAAATACATTAAGCAATATTCGCCACAAACTGAAGTCCACTCATTCTGAATCCTATCAACATTCCAGTTCCATCTTTTAAAATTCCTTTTTAAAAACTCTAGATGATATCGTACAGGTGATCGTCCATATGAATCAAAATATTGACCGACGTCATTCGTATCGATATATAAAGCTACCCAATGTGACCCTGGTTTATCATCTGTATCCAAATTACATATTATATACGTTGGTACGTGGGTATACATAGGCAGTCTATTAGCTGCATAAACATTATTTTCTAGACTGGGGTGAATCTTTTTCAGATGTTGTTGTACATCTAGTGTATCCATGATATTACTGCTATTAGTAGATTATTACAGTACCTAGCTACTCAATGAATAACATAGGAATGGTCAATTATAGTGATTTCTACATATTAAATTGCATTTTTGTGATATACAAATCGTACTTGAGTCATTGATCACCAAACAAAACACAATACGAAGAAATGTTGAGATAGGCAACGGAAATGTGAGATAAACTGATATGTTTCTAAATATTAAATTGCATTTTTGTGTTATACAAATCGTACTTGAGTCATTGATCACCAAACAAAACACAATACGAAGAAATGTTGAGATAGGCAACGGAAATGTGAGATAAACTGGTTGACGCATAAAGTAATTATCAACTCATTACGGAAATACTTTAGATTAGAATTTTTACGTACTGGTGGTATATAAGACCAACAAACGCAGTCGTCGAGTTAGTGTACGGTCGTTTGGCTACAGTGGATCTATCAATAGTACATTTGTGTTACTTCAATACACCAAAGGCTATGGATGTAAGTGTTTATTCTATTGACTAAATTACTTTTTTTCTGTTATTTTCATGTGTGTGTATTATTTTATTTAAATATTGTGTATGTATATGATTAAGCCGTGGTAACTCAGATGGTTAGCGCTAGCTGTAAATTTCACAGTACGCGACCCGGGTTCGATCCCCGCCAGCACCAATTAAATTGTTAATAGCAATTTTAAGTGCTTATTACCACGTGCTTGGTGGTGAAGGAAAACATCGTGAGGAAACCTGCATGTCTGAGAAAATTTCGAAGGCATGTGAAGTTCGCCAACACACATTGAGGGAGCGCGGCGGACATTTCCTTGCTCTAAAACCCTCTCAGAAATGAAAGGAGGCCTATGTTCAGCAGTGGACTTTAATAGGCTGTAACTTTAACTTTTTTAACTTTTATGATTAAGTGTTAACAAATTGATATTAACATGATAACTGTGTTGTTGCAGAAATCATTGAGCTTCGATGAAGATACCTATAAACAGTATTACTACTCGCCACTCTCCCCTCAAGAAGAGAGTGATAACCTCGTCATTAATAATAACACATGCGATGGTGGAAAAAGAAAATCGCAATCGATTGATCATTTTTTTGAAGCTGAATCAAAAATAAAAAAGAGGAAGCTGTTATCATCAACCGTAGCACGAGCCGCTAGAGATGGTGTATCATACATTTCTACTAATTCTGACGACGGAGACCAAGCGACGCATCTCATCAAAATTGAAATGTACGATATGAAGAAGCTATCCAAGATTCCAACTACTGATCATTGGAAACATGCTTCCACTAGAATTAAATATTACGTAAAGACTAATAAGGATAGCATCTACGACAACACAAACGCCCTCGTATACAATATAACAAAGACAATAGCAGAAAGTGAAAAAGTTAAAAAATACTTTTTTAACAATGACAGTCATTAGCTGATCATTAGTGAATGTGATTCTGTTTACTTCAATTACAGGAAGACAAGAGCGGAAGGAAGAGATGAGTGTGGCATACGTGTACAAAACACATCATTGAATAACAAAACTACAACACTGAGTGGAGAAGAAAACGAGAAGAGTATGCAGTACTCAAGAGCTGAATATCCATTCTTCAGTTCAAAATCTAGCCGTTTGCTTAGTTTCGAAAACTGGCCTCTAGTTATGCGACAGAAACCTGAAGATCTTGCAGAAGCTGGTTTCTTTTATACTGGCCATGCAGACGGGACCAAGTGTTTCCATTGTGGTGGTGGTTTAAAAGATTGGGAAGATGATGATGATCCTTGGCAGCAGCATGTTCAGTGGTTTAGTCAGTGTGCTTATGTAAAATTTCAACTCGAACAGTGTTTTGTATTAGATTAAATAGAAGATTTATAAAGAAATAAAAAAAAATATATTGCATACAATTTGTTTTATTTAATTTTATAACGTTTCACATAGTTACATACACACAAAATGCATTACACATAACACATAAAATCTAACACACAACACATATTATAACCTTAACTACTATAGTCTACAGTAACATTTCTGTTTTTATCTATCTCAATAATATTATCAAACTCAGCATAAACTATACAGTTAATTGTTTGTATTAATGAGGATTCAAATCGTACTTCTATTCTTACACTACCATGCTTTATGAGATTCCAATGAGTTGATGAGTTAGCTGATAAATCAGGAGTTAAGTCAAATGCAAATAGACAGTAACCTTTGCCATACTGTTCACAAGAGATTCCATTTCCTTCATTAAGAAAGTGAATACCAGTTCCCGAGAATAGAGTATGATATGCTGATGTAAATATGCTATTATTAAAAGATGGTTGCAAAGCTTTTGAAGGTATTTGTTGACCATCAA